GGGGGGGCTAGACCCCTACAAATTCTGCCGCCAGTTGCCCCGTCGACAATGGCCGTTGGTGAAACCGCCACCGGTTCCACCAAACCCTTATGATGATTTCAGCGAGGCGTACAAGGCCCTCTCTACCAACCGTCTGCCTGACGGGCGGATTCACTGGGATGCCCCATGCTCCCTCCATTCGCTGCAATGCATGGCCTGGGGGAGCTTTCACGATGAACACTTACCCCTCTTAGAGCATGAGTGCGCATATTACGCGAGTCTGGAGCGATGGACGAACGGAAGTCGCACCAACTCGCCGATGCGACCTAAAGATGAGGTGATGGTGGGGGAAGACTTGGGTTCTTCCATTCCACACCCTGCTGGTTGCTCGCCCCCCCCGAAAGGCTCCCAGGCGATCCGGAGTAGCTCGTGCGGCCTCAGGGTCTGCATCCTCATCTAGGTGATGCCGATTGGGGCTCACAGAAAAGTGAGTTGTCCCCCGTCCTTCCCTTGTAGGAGAAGGACGGTGGGTGTTTGCCGAGGCTGGGGGCGACCACTCCTGTTCCATGATGGAGAAGAATGGTGGTTGCTCTGGACGTCCGGTGATCAGAGTTCTACTCGGTGGTGCCTTACATGTCCCTTCGCTCGTCCTTTTGCTTTAGGGATTCGAGATGTTCAGCATCACCAAACAACTAAGCCCTCTTGATAGCCTTGGCATGATCCTTTGGGGGTAGGAGGATTAAATATTTCGAGAAGTCCCCTACTTGTAGAGCTGCGTGAAGCATGGACAACTTGGTCTGGTCGTCTGCTCCATTACCTCTATCGTCTCAATTTTCCACCGTCTACAAGTAGGGGACTTCTCGAAATATTTAATCCTCCTACCCCCAAAGGATCATGCCAAGGCTATCAAGAGGGCTGAGTTGTTTGGCGATGCTGAACATCTCGAATCCCTAAAGCAAAAGGACGAGCGAAGGGACATGCAGGGCACCGCCGAGTAGTATTGGTTATTTTTTTCAATGGACAATAATTTTGTATTAAAATTTTAAGGACACACATGCACATCAGGCCATGTGTGCATAATAATTTTTTTACTAAATAACCATTTTATTTTTAATTTATATAAAATTATTTACTTTCTATCACTAAATAACCATTACTTTCTTAAATTATTATTCAACCTTTCACTATTTAACAATAAATAACCAATATTTCTATAGACGTTTTGCATTTTAACTAATCTAAAAATATTTATTTCTTTATTGCAAATACAACACACATTTTAAATATTCACAATTGCATTATGTTAATTTTTTAAAAAGTTATATAAAATTTATCAATAAAAAAACATCAATTTATATTATATTATTTTTATACTATCTACTTCTTAAATTAGTTTATTACTTCTGAAAAAATTGATTATATAAATTTAATCACGTATGAACATTTATTAATTAAATACTTTATTTCAAAACTTTTATCTTATTACATTGTTTATTTTATTACTACACATATTTTTCAACAAAGTAAATAGAGCAAGGTTAGTTAGTTTAATTGAAGGATGAAAAATGACATTTTGACACACACACACACACACACATACATACATACATACATACATATATATATATATATATTAAAAAAAAAGAATTGAAGAAGAAGAAGAATTGAAGAAGAAGAAGAAGAAGAAGAAGGAGGAGGAGGAGGAGGACGACGCTTACCCAAGAAAGACCAATTCAAGAATCTGCTGTAATGGATTGGGGATGAAGGAATGGATCGGAATTGGATGGGAGTAATATATACGGAGTATATACACATTCGTCTCTGTGTTGTGTGCACGTGTGTTTTGAAATCTGCTGCAACGGGCAGCTGTTCAAGATTTTCAAGAAAATGGAGGGCGAATCTTGATTTCGTCCTGCTCCATTTTTTCACGATCTAGCTAATCTCTAAGGCCCCATCCATAGTTTAACCTCAATCTATTTTTTCCTATATCTATATTTTATTTATTTCTCTGGATTTATTTATCGATTTTCTTATTTTCAGTGGAGTGGTCTATTTTTCAATATATATATATATATATATACATACATACATATATATATATATATATATATATATATATATAGACACACATACACACACACTCAATGTACCATTATTTATTAGTCCGTTTTTATTTTTATTTTTATTAATTAAAACCATTTTTATTAGTAATTCATTCAAATACCATTAATTTTGCATAAATCTTTTTATTTTTAAATTAACATACCAATATACATTCCACGAGTTCGTAATATATTTTGTTTACACAACTATATTATATCTTAAAAATGTTTTTGAAACATTATTGATATTATGAAAAATAAATTTTTATATAAATTTTTAAAAATAATTGATCATTTCTCTTCAAATACTTTTAAATAGAATACTTATGAACTTTTTAGTGCATATGTACATTAATATTAAAGTATAACTTTTATTTAAAAAATTATATCTTAGAGTTACAAAATATTCATATTACACATATTATGTCATTATTAGAAAATTAAAATAAATTTATATTTATAGGATGTTAAAAATTTAGAATATATACGAGCCCGTGCAAAGCACAGGATTAACACTAGTTACAAGTATTTTTGAATTTCTATTATATAAATTTAATGTATATTTTCAAAAAGGTCATTTTTATATAATTAAATGTAAAGTTAAAACAATATATTGATGATATACATAATCTATGAAAAATTAAAAATCAATAAAAAAAATTTAAATTAAATATACATCTTAAAATTGAAATAAATTATTTTGAGAAAATATACATCATAATAATCTCATCTAAGATTGTTTTGAGAAAATATTTTATTAGAGAGAATGATTTTGAGAATTTATTCAAAAAATTACAAAAAAATTTATAAAACAATTGATGTGATTATTTTATTAAATAATTTATAAAAATATATAACAATAATATAATTAATTTCATTTTTGAATAGTAATTAAGAGTTTTTTTTGAGCGGGGAGAGTATAATATGGTTGGAGGTAAGGGGGGATACAGGTCGGAATGGTTTAGGATTTATATTATCTTGCATTTGCCCCGCTTTTTTCAAACGGTTCACAATGATTTTGGTCACAAATTTATCCATCTTTGTCCATTAGTATTCGGGAAGAGAGAATTTCTAGATAGGAGAAAAAAAATAAAGAAAATACTAAAATAAGTGTTCTATGTCTTTTAAAACTAAAATATTTTGTTACTCTGTCATACTTATCATATTGTTACATTGAAATTGCCATATGTCGTCGCCGGGCATCAAAATATCGTCATAGATCACCGATGGTTGACTCTTATATTACACTATATTACACTGATTTCACATTTGAACACTTTGCCAAGACGTACTCTTACGACACATTGAAAATATAGTCTTATTTTGGTTTTAAAAAAAATTAGGACTCTTATTTTGGTATTTCCATATTTTTTCTCCTATTCAGCAAGGTTTTCTATTCGAGAATGGATTAAAATGGAATGGATTCGGGTTGTCTTTTTTGCCATTGTTTGAAAATCAAAATTAGATATAAAAATACGGAGTATGTAATACATATGGGGGAGGTAACCCAATTTTACTTGTAAAGTAATGAAAAAATGATTTATTTATTTAGAATATCTTAGAGAAGCTAAGATAATAAAAACATGAAAAAATGCTACAACAAACATCAAAAGTCAAAACTAAAATCTCATAGAAATATGAGCCATGAACTTGGGCGAGACCGGTTTGAACTGTCTGGATTTTTAGATTATATGATCCTAAACAATTTTTTAGAATATTTGAATCTAGATGCCGTATTGCACAATGACCTCTATGCTTTGGTAAATGTGTAGCGTTACATCTTAAGGTTTTCAAAACTTAAGTTGTTGCCCCCCATGGTACTGATATTGTTGCGCCAATATCTAGGTTAAAATATTTTTCAAATATTACGTGAATAACTGCATTGCCTCTATAGTTTTGGAAATTGGCACAAACGCCCTATCTTTGGTTTACTGCTTTTGTTCTTTCCACTCTTTTTTCATAAATGCTTTGTGATCATCCGCATTAATGCCACAATAAATCATGTTTATTTCTTTAGCGTCGAGCTACATTCTTGCAATCTTTGTCGGTGTAATCCTCTTCGGTTTTAGGAAAGTCGACTTCTCTGACTTTCTTCCTAGGAATGTCGCAGCCATTCTTCACAATTAACAACAACTTATAGTCGTTGGATTGAATGATGTTGGACATGAGTTCAAACCCCTTTTCTATTTCTTCTGGAATATTTTTTTGTTTTGATGAATGACAAACAGGATGATTAATTTCAAGCTGATCGAAAATTTATTTTCGTATCAAGAAAAGCAAAGAAGGGTATCAAGAAGTTTACGGCGATATAAATCGACGACCACCCCTACGCAGATTTTTTTGAAGTGAAGTGAAGACTCCGAAGATTTTTTTTATTAAGTCTAGGAATATTTGTAAGGATGACAATATCTTCTGCACAAACAAATTAATTTCTGAGAGATAAAAATTATTATTTTTTGAGTCAGTTGAAAAATTACTTTTCCTCTGTCTAAAATATTTTACTGAGTCAGTTTCAAAATAAGTGAGTCAAAATTTCTTTAAAATATTTTTTTTAAGATTACACTTTTTTTTGGTAAGAAAAATATAATTTAAATATTTTTCGTATACATCGTTTGACACACAAAATAATTTTTGGACTCTTTTTCTCTCCCCTACTCAAATTCTTTGAATAGGAGGAGCGTCCGTTTGATATTCCCGTTGTCCCAAACAATGAGTTAGAAGCCAAAGGCTTCCAATAGCACTTGGCTTGGGCCCTTCATGTTTGCGCATTATTTTTTACTTTAATCGATTAATTTATCTAAAATAATCGATTAGATCCAATTTCTCAGCACTGGATTTCTCAGGCCAATAGACTTAATCGATTAAATTTGTCCATTTAATCGATTAGTTTAAACAGAGCAGGATAATCGATTTTTCTCTCTTTTTTAATCGATTAATTCCACCTTTGCATTCAAGCCTTTTCGCTTCTGTACACTTTAATCGATTAAAATTCCTAATTTAATCGATTAATTCTGTCTGGTGCATATCATCAACGTTCTCCAACGGCTTTATTTTCCTCAGCCTATTTAATCCCTCATTCTCCTTCATTTCCATACACACCTCTTGCACTCCAATATATTCTTTGAGCTATATTCATCCTTTGCTTAATCTTCCTCATCAAAATATTATTTTTGAGAGTTAGAAATATTTTCTTTGAGTGCTAAAGAAGTTGTCATCCATAGAGCTTTAATTCTTCAACACTACTTTGCTCAATTGTGTGAGCTTTCATTCTTGTGTTGTAAACTCAATCTCTTTTGAGTGTTGTTTTTAAGACTTGTGTGACTCAAGTCTTGTTGTTGTAAGAAAGTGAGGCGTGTGTGATTCAAGTTCTCAAGTTGTACCGGTT